ATGGGGGAGATGACAATGAGAAGCAGCCAAAGGTCCAAGGTCGATACCAAAGGTCAAAATCCACGAACATGCAATCATTCGAGGAAGAGAGGAAAGCAAAGGGAGAAAGCGGCACAAAAGGAGATGGGTCGGGGATGAGTTGATATGAAAGAGAGGCCAGCGAGGCGGAGGGGGTCAGGTAGAAAGGAGGTCAAAGGTCAAAGGCTACGGACAGACGGTCGCATGATTACACTCTGTCAACCACTCAGAATGAAGGGCCATATGCGGCTCCTGCCGTAAAGGGGGCTGTAGCATAAAGTTCAGCGGGTCTTTGCAGTTCTCATTTACCAGATGACCTAACATTGTGTTATTCCTTCCTAGAATCAGGCACCTCTACTTGATGCCACCAACCTCCCGGTTGGAGTCACTGACACATGTTGGGAGACTGAACACGAAGAGGCAGAACCATCTGTTTGCTCAGGTATGTTAATCCTAACTCTAATTTCTTTCGCGTCAACATAGGTGGGTCGTAACAGCTGCTCCAATATAGTAGGCACATGATTCATTACTAGGAGCATTACTTATTTAGTCAGCCTTATTCTCTGTCCTCTTTCGGCCGTTTTCAGCTACCCGAAGCGCGTCCCTGAGCAGTGTGGTTGATTCTGCGGCATCCACGATCCCCCAGGGCAGCCCCAGGACCCCCGCAGGTACGCACACGCACCGAACTGGTTCTCCACAAAGCGGTGTAGCCTGCCTTGTACAGAACCACCAAGAGCATCTCATTGCATCCGTCGCTCCTGGTGCTTCCATGTGACTCATTCGTTTTCTTTTATTTCCCGTCTTTTCATAGCGATGACAAGCGCATCTCTGAGCGGTGTGATTGATTCTGCGGAATCCTCAACCACCCAGGGCAGCCCCAGGACCCCCGCAGGTACGCACACGCACCAAACTGGTTCTCCACAAAGCGGTGTAGCCTGCCTTGTACAGAACCACCAAGAGCATCTCATTGCGTCCGTCGCTCCTGGTGCTTCCATGTAACTCATTCGTTTTCTTTTATTTCCCGTCTTTTCATAGCGATGACAAGCGCATCTCTGAGCGGTGTGATTGATTCTGCGGCATCCTCAACCACCCAGGGCAGCCCCAGGACCCCCGCAGGTACGCACACGGACCAAACTGGTTCTCCACAAAGCGGTGTAGCCTGCCTTGTACTGTCGTGAGCAAAAGTCTGGATAATACGGGAGCGCCGACCGAATTGCATCGCCGCGCTCCCTGACGGCGCGGCGCCTGGTGCCGAGACCCGCGCAATGCGCACGCGCGTCCTTTCTTATCTGCTGGCCCACTCGTTCGCTCGCTTCAACGCGATGCGCTCCTGAGCGATTAAATGGGCGCTAGGTGCCGCCCCGGGAACCAAGACTCTGAGAGCCTCGCTCGCCGCTCGGGACGACCTCGCGTGCTCCGCGGAACGCGCCGTTCAAGCATATCTTTCCCGCGACTCGGCGACGCGTTAAAGACTGTCGCTTCCCTCCATTCGTTACTTTTAAGCTTTGCCCCGGCTACAATGCAAACAGCTGCTGCTCAATTTTTTATGCACGCGTTGTAAAGGGTCAAGAAGCCAAGAAAACATAAAAAAAAACATGGTACTGGCCACAAATTCTCAGCATGGTTGTTCGCGAACTGACCTTAAAATGTTCCGTTTGACATCAACTGTGATGACTTGTACCGGAAGTCATAAAATAAAGCGGCTATGCAACGATTTCCGGACAATGGCCAAATAATTATAGGAATTGTTCTCCGACACTTCTAAAGTAAAGAACTGAAAAGCGATTGAGTGTGTGTGCCATAATTATAATTTTAAACAATAGCAAAGTTTCAAGTTTCCGGCACCCCTAAACTCTCTAAATGACGTGCTCAGTGACGTCGACGTGAGGATGCACCGGTTTCCGTGCGCTCTCCCTCAAGGATGTTTATTCTTTCTCTCTCTACTTCTCTTCGTGAGGCGTTGAGCTGCAGCGATCCCCGCGTCACCGTCACGGCGCGTTTCCCATGGCTGCCGCGCACGGCTGCAGTGGGGGAAATATTTCCATTTCTGATTTGCGATTACACAACAGAATTGCAACATTTTGCAGGAAGGTGATGCTTTTTCGATTCTTTCTGACGCTATCAACAATATAAAGATTACAAGCCACCCAAACTGAACCAGCGCCTCTTTTTCCCTCCGTTTTGTTTCTAGTTTTTTCTTGGGAGGGGGATTAAATAAATATTTCTTTCTTTTTTGGCGTTTTCTTTTTGCTCGTCATTCACCACTTTACCGCGCGTGCATGATCACTCGGAAGGAAGCCCAAGGCTGCCTCGAGTACGCGAATACAAGTTCTGCAATTCATTGCGGCTGCATCAGCATAAGCGACAGTTTTTAACGCGTCGCCGAGTCGCGGGAAAGATATGCGCGAACGGCGCGTGCCACGGAGCACGCGAGCTCGTCCAGAGCGGTGAGCGAGGCTCTCAGAGTCTTGGTTCCCGGGGCGGCACCTAGCGCCCATTCAATCGCGCAAGAGCGCATCGCGTTGAAGCGAGCAAACGAGTGGGCCAGCAGATAAGAAAGGACGCGCGTGCGCATTGCGCGGGTCTCGGCACCAGGCGCCGCGCCGTCAGGGAGCGCGGCGATGCAATTCGGTCGGCGCTCCCGTGTTATCCAGACTTTTGCTCACGACAGTACAGAACCACCAAGAGCATCTCATTGCGTCCGTTGCTCCTGGTGCTTCCATCTGACTCATTCGTTTTCTTTTATTTCCCGTCTTTTCATAGCGATGACAAGCGCATCTCTGAGCGGTGTGATTGATTCTGCGGCATCCTCAACCACCCAGGGCAGCCCCAGGGGTGCTATGTTGCGCTTTTTGCACTCCCAGGAGACTTGGAAGAGGGAAGTGACGTCAACGACTAGAGCAAATGCAGATTGGATGTTGACAGAAGAAAACAAAATCAACATCCAATCTGCGTTTGCTGCGTTGTTGACGTCACTTCCCTCTCCCTAGTCTCCTGGGAGTGCAAAAAGCGCAACATAGCCCCCCAGGACCCCCGCAGGTACGCACACGCACCAAACTGGTTCTCCACAAAGCGGTGTAGCCTGCCTTCTACAGAACCACCAAGAGCATCTCATTTGCGTCCGTTGCTCCTGGTGCTTCCATCTGACTCATTCGTTTTCTTTTATTTCCCGTCTTTTCATAGCGATGACAAGCGCATCTCTGAGCGGTGTGATTGATTCTGCGGCATCCTCAACCACCCAGGGCAGCCCCAGGACCCCCGCAGGTACGCACACGCACCAAACTGGTTCTCCACAAAGCGGTGTAGCCTGCCTTCTACAGAACCACCAAGAGCATCTCATTTGCGTCCGTTGCTCCTGGTGCTTCCATCTGACTCGTTCGTTTTCTTTTATTTCCCGTCTTTTCATAGCGATGACAAGCGCATCTCTGAGCGGTGTGATTGATTCTGCGGCATCCTCAACCACCCAGGGCAGCCCCAGGACCCCCGCAGGTACGCACACGGACCAAACTGGTTCTCCACAAAGCGGTGTAGCCTGCCTTGTACAGAACCACCAAGAGCATCTCATTGCGTCCGTTGCTCCTGGTGCTTCCATCTGACTCATTCGTTTTCTTTTATTTCCCGTCTTTTCATAGCGATGACAAGCGCATCTCTGAGCGGTGTGATTGATTCTGCGGCATCCTCAACCACCCAGGGCAGCCCCAGGACCCCCGCAGGTACGCACACGCACCAAACTGGTTCTCCACAAAGCGGTGTAGCCTGCCTTCTACAGAACCACCAAGAGCATCTCATTTGCGTCCGTTGCTCCTGGTGCTTCCATCTGACTCATTCGTTTTCTTTTATTTCCCGTCTTTTCATAGCGATGACAAGCGCATCTCTGAGCGGTGTGATTGATTCTGCGGCATCCTCAACCACCCAGGGCAGCCCCAGGACCCCCGCAGGTACGCACACGCACCAAACTGGTTCTCCACAAAGCGGTGTAGCCTGCCTTCTACAGAACCACCAAGAGCATCTCATTGCGTCCGTTGCTCCTGGTGCTTCTATCTGACTCATTCGTTTTCTTTTATTTCCCGTCTTTTCATAGCGATGACAAGCGCATCTCTGAGCGGTGTGATTGATTCTGCGGCATCCTCAACCACCCAGGGCAGCCCCAGGACCCCCGCAGGTACGCACACGCACCAAACTGGTTCTCCACAAAGCGGTGTAGCCTGCCTTCTACAGAACCACCAAGAGCATCTCATTTGCGTCCGTTGCTCCTGGTGCTTCCATCTGACTCATTCGTTTTCTTTTATTTCCCGTCTTTTCATAGCGATGACAAGCGCATCTCTGAGCGGTGTGATTGATTCTGCGGCATCCTCAACCACCCAGGGCAGCCCCAGGACCCCCGCAGGTACGCACACGGACCAAACTGGTTCTCCACAAAGCGGTGTAGCCTGCCTTGTACAGAACCACCAAGAGCATCTCATTGCGTCCGTTGCTCCTGGTGCTTCCATCTGACTCATTCGTTTTCTTTTATTTCCCGTCTTTTCATAGCGATGACAAGCGCATCTCTGAGCGGTGTGATTGATTCTGCGGCATCCTCAACCACCCAGGGCAGCCCCAGGACCCCCGCAGGTACGCACACGCACCAAACTGGTTCTCCACAAAGCGGTGTAGCCTGCCTTCTACAGAACCACCAAGAGCATCTCATTTGCGTCCGTTGCTCCTGGTGCTTCCATCTGACTCATTCGTTTTCTTTTATTTCCCGTCTTTTCATAGCGATGACAAGCGCATCTCTGAGCGGTGTGATTGATTCTGCGGCATCCTCAACCACCCAGGGCAGCCCCAGGACCCCCGCAGGTACGCACACGCACCAAACTGGTTCTCCACAAAGCGGTGTAGCCTGCCTTCTACAGAACCACCAAGAGCATCTTATTGCGTCCGTTGCTCCTGGTGCTTCCATCTGACTCATTCGTTTTCTTTTATTTCCCGTCTTTTCATAGCGATGACAAGCGCATCTCTGAGCGGTGTGATTGATTCTGCGGCATCCTCAACCACCCAGGGCAGCCCCAGGACCCCCGCAGGTACGCACACGCACCAAACTGGTTCTCCACAAAGCGGTGTAGCCTGCCTTCTACAGAACCACCAAGAGCATCTCATTTGCGTCCGTTGCTCCTGGTGCTTCCATCTGACTCATTCGTTTTCTTTTATTTCCCGTCTTTTCATAGCGATGACAAGCGCATCTCTGAGCGGTGTGATTGATTCTGCGGCATCCTCAACCACCCAGGGCAGCCCCAGGACCCCCGCAGGTACGCACACGCACCAAACTGGTTCTCCACAAAGCGGTGTAGCCTGCCTTGTACAGAACCACCAAGAGCATCTCATTGCGTCCGTTGCTCCTGGTGCTTCCATCTGACTCATTCGTTTTCTTTTATTTCCCGTCTTTTCATAGCGATGACAAGCGCATCTCTGAGCGGTGTGATTGATTCTGCGGCATCCTCAACCACCCAGGGCAGCCCCAGGACCCCCGCAGGTACGCACACGCACCAAACTGGTTCTCCACAAAGCGGTGTAGCCTGCCTTGTACAGAACCACCAAGAGCATCTCATTTGCGTCCGTTGCTCCTGGTGGTTCCATCTGACTCATTCGTTTTCTTTTATTTCCCGTCTTTTCATAGCGATGACAAGCGCATCTCTGAGCGGTGTGATTGATTCTGCGGCATCCTCAACCACCCAGGGCAGCCCCAGGACCCCCGCAGGTACGCACACGCACCAAACTGGTTCTCCACAAAGCGGTGTAGCCTGCCTTGTACAGAACCACCAAGAGCATCTCATTGCGTCCGTTGCTCCTGGTGGTTCCATGTGACTCATTCGTTTTCTTTTATTTCCCGTCTTTTCATAGCGATGACAAGCGCATCTCTGAGCGGTGTGATTGATTCTGCGGCATCCTCAACCACCCAGGGCAGCCCCAGGACCCCCGCAGGTACGCACACGCACCAAACTGGTTCTCCACAAAGCGGTATAGCCTGCCTTGTACAGAACCACCAAGAGCATCTCATTTGCGTCCGTTGCTCCTGGTGGTTCCATGTGACTCATTCGTTTTCTTTTATTTCCCGTCTTTTCATAGCGATGACAAGCGCATCTCTGTGCGGTGTGATTGATTCTGCGGCATCCTCAACCACCCAGGGCAGCCCCAGGACCCCCGCAGGTACGCACACGCACCAAACTGGTTCTCCACAAAGCGGTGTAGCCTGCCTTGTACAGAACCACCAAGAGCATCTCATTTGCGTCCGTTGCTCCTGGTGGTTCCATGTGACTCATTCGTTTTCTTTTATTTCCCGTCTTTTCATAGCGATGACAAGCGCATCTCTGAGCGGTGTGATTGATTCTGCGGCATCCTCAACCACCCAGGGCAGCCCCAGGACCCCCGCAGGTACGCACACGCACCAGACTGGTTCTCCACAAAGCGGTGTAGCCTGCCTTCTACAGAACCACCAAGAGCATCTCATTTGCGTCCGTTGCTCCTGGTGGTTCCATCTGACTCATTCGTTTTCTTTTATTTCCCGTCTTTTCATAGCGATGACAAGCGCATCTCTGAGCGGTGTGATTGATTCTGCGGCATCCTCAACCACCCAGGGCAGCCCCAGGACCCCCCCCCCCCACGTATGCACATGCACCAAACTGGTTCTCCGCTAAGTGGTGTGGCCTGCCTTGCACAGAACCACCAAGAGCATCTCATCGCATCCATTGCTCCTGGTGCTTCCATACGACTCATTTATTTCCTTTATTTGCTCGTCTATCCATGTCCATAGTGACCCAGGGTGCATCGTCCAGCTGGCTCCTCGCTCTTGCTGCATCCCCAACCACCTTGGTACAAACAGGCAGCCCCAGCATGCCCACAGGTACGCACACGCACCAAACTACTGGTCTACTGCAAGGCAGTAGAGAACCAGGCCATCCAAGGCAGGCTACTGTAGCCCACCTTGGATGGAATTATCAAACGCATATCCAGATTTCCTAACTGGTTGCCATCTTTGACATCACTTAAATATTTTCAAGATAATTCATGTGACTCCATCGTTTCCTTCTATGCTTTTTCCGGACTCTCTTTAGCAACCCAAAGGGTCACAAGTGCAGGTACACCCACTCTGCACGCAGCATCCAGGCGCTGCAAGAAAAAGTGTGCAACGACGCAGACAGCAGGCTTGCAAAGAAATGCAGGTCTGGTCTTTCACTGAAATGAATATTTTGGCATGGCCCAGATTTCACTTTTTAATATTGGTGATATATAATTATACATTAATATAATAAGAATTTCACTTCTGAACATTTGTTAGTGCAACTCTTCCCAAACTGGATTCATAAGGTTCCTGGTGTTCACCAGAGAAGTATTACTGGTTTACCACACTTTTATATTTCCTCAACTATCCCTGCACCTCAGTGAAGTGTCTTTTTAGTTTGACCACCACTGTGGGAAAATGCAGTCACTCAGTGGCAAACTTATTTAGAAAGGTCCATCATTGTTTTTCAAGGTCTGTAGGCTTTTGTACTGCTTTATTGCATTAGTTCCAAGAAAAGAATCATAATAAGTTTCAATCCATATGAAATACATAATACGTAATCTGGGCAGCTGTTAATATATTATTTTCTTTTATGCCCTATACGTGTGCCTTTCTCTGTGTTAGCTTTATAATCTTATGCTGGGGTTACATGGATGCAACCATAGCAGATCAGAGCCAGCATCAACCAACATTATGTGCCCACCCCTCCATTCTCCTTCCAAGCACAGTTGTCTCCTCTCAATCCGATGCACTATGGTCATGTTCATGCAGAGATAGCCATATTTCATATTGTGCTCACTTGTGGTCTCCGAGTAGCCTCTGAGTGGGTCAGGCGGCACGTGATGTCCAAAAGTCTAGGAACTACTGATATAGAGAATGAACTGGTGTCATAAGATAGCAGCTTGTGCATGGAACTTGGAGCCAGGTTTTTTTTTATATACTGGAAGAGGCTACAGATACAGTTCTTTGATGGGACGCTTTGCTCAATGCTGTGAAGGTAGGGCCAGACCAAGACTTTTATATTGAGAAGAAAGTGGGTTGGGGGTACAGGTGTATCCTTGTGTGGCATTTGCAGGAAGGGGAGGGAGAAGCCACCTTCTGTCTTCACGTGTGGATGTTTGTTCATTGTATTGAAAAATGGCATGTTTCTAAAGCCACACACTGTTCGGTAGCAATCCAAGTATGCATCAAGCCACCGTCAAGGACCCGGACTGTCCAAACAGAGGTTTCTGGGACACTGTTGTGGGCTTCCTCCCCGTTGCATTCCTCGCATCCATGGGACCTCGATTCCTCGGGCGAGCAGCAAAGACAAGACGCCGACCCTGACTATTCTCCATCGGAAGACAGCTTTGAGAGGTTTGTGTGAAGGTTCTGTTAAGCAAGGGTTTATGGGATCATCCATAATGAATAGTTCAGTTGTTTAGATGATCGTTATTTTTCTATCGCAGGCCTGAGAAGCAAGCGCCATCCCTGGTGGAAGAGAGGAAATTCATCGTCTTTGAATCCTGCCTTGACGTGCTGCTCGACACGTGCCAAACCTGTGCTGCCTCTATCATTCACATGGACAAGAGTGTTCAAGGCTGCTGTCTCCAGGTTTCCACCGTTTGCAAGAATGGCAACGTGGATAACTGGTGTAGCCAGCCGATCATCAGGCGAAAGCCGGTTGGCAACATCCTCATGGCTGCTTCACCTTTGCTTACTGGCTGCTGCATCAAAAAGACATTGAGGATGCTGACTGGTATGGGGATAGCCTGCTTCACCTACAGGACCTTCTTCACGATCCAGAAGGCGTTTCTCCGTCCTGCAATTGAAAAGGTACTCTGAGGCTAAAGCCCAACATGCAGAAGGCTCCTTGCCACTGTCCTTCTCGTGCTCTTTCAACTTATTGGCCCGAAACAAGTGGGCCCAGGAACTATCTGCCGTAGAAAGTCGGGTTTTCTCACGCAGGTGTAATAGAAAAATCGAGGATCGACCTCTTCCTCTGTGTGCACTTTGGGCTCTGGACAGACCGGACCCTTGCACTATTAAAACTAATTTATTCAGGCGTAACAGTAGATAGCAGAAGAGGGGACCTGAATCTGTTTATCTTCCACCCGAGCCCAGTTACATTAGAGTGAAGCCCCGTTTACATTTTGAGGAATGCTCTGTCTTTCAAAACCAGGTGTGGAACAAGCATCAGCTGGACCTGTTCACAGCTGCTGCAGGAAAGCAGCTGACGATCGCCGGTGATGGGAGGGCGGATTCGCCTGGTCACAGTGCCAAGTACGGCACCTACACCATGCTGGATGTTGACAGTAACAAGGTCCTTCACGTGGAAACTGTCCAGGTATGTACATAAACTCTATGAGTGCTATACTTTCCACACTGTGAAAATCACAGGCTAAGAAATGTATATAGAGTACCACAAAAACTGGCGCGCACTGGGTGTGTGAGCCAACACAGTATTGCTCGCAGCCCTATTGAGGGAGTTCTAATATTCTTTTGCGATATGCCAAACTGGCAAATTAACAAATATTAATTACCTCACTTTTATATATTAATTTATGCACAAGCCGCTCAATATAAAAGTTGTAGAGCATGTTGACAACATCCGATCGTGTCGTTTCCATCACAATAGCCTTTCTGTATCTAATGTTATCAATTTTAATGAAGGTGTGCAAGATTTAAAAGAAAATCCCATCGATTAATCGGGTTGCACTCGTTTCTAGGCAAAACACATCAAACAAGATCAAAAATATATATTTCATCTCTTGGCGATCGCTTCTACCATGGAATAAATGACGAAGGGCTCAGTGGGGGTCAGCATAGTTGTGCAGTTCATAATAGTTCAAAGAAGCTTGCAGATTTCCGTAGAGGCAAAAAGTTTGTTGACATCCTCTGGCAGGAATAAGTTCCTTTGCTGCTTCACAATCATTCCCGCCTGCACAGCGTGGATGTGGGCGGGGCACAGATCTCTCTGAACTTTCTTTAGGTTGCAAAAATCGCGCCTGATGTTTACTATGAATTCAAATTTCTCTAAAGGATTCTTTTTCATACTGGTGTCCTCGTCCGTGACTGCACAGTGGCTTTTTTCTCGCTCTCGAGAGGGAACCACTTAGTTCAAATGTAGTGTTGTTCACATGTCCTCAATCCAACGAAAGAACATTCGGAAAAGGAAGAAAAAGCCCGTGAACAATTCCCAAGACACAACAGAAGAAAGCGCGTTGCTCATCTGATTCCCTCTAACTGATCCGCCATCATCGGTTCAGGCGGCTCCTTCTGTCACGGCTTCAGCGATTGTCAGGGTATAGACAGAGAGGAAGGACCCATTCATCCCTGTGCGGAACTCCGCCAATTATGTTGACGGGTCGTTTTCCCTCGCGCTCTGGGAGTGTTCACAGAAAACACAAAAGGAGACGGGGGAATGCCGAAAAATTGTCCCACGAAGGTGGTGTCATTTGTTCAGCTGAGCTGCACAAAATTTTTCTTTTGCATCCTTGCCGCTGAGAGGCTCGAGGCGCAGCGCGCTCGTTTAGGCCGCCTGCGAGAGATGGCGGGAATGTAGGTATGGCAACGTCGCCAGCACGACCAAGGTCAACTGAATATTGTAAAGCCTGTTTCTGTTCTCCCCCCCCCCCCCCCCCCCCTCAATGTTATTGTTGCTGCACGTACCCGCCGAAGAGTGGGGACAGGTGTTTTCATTCTGAGGAGTACGGGAGTAGTAGGGTGGAAAAGCGAAAACTTTATTCATACTTTTCTTTTGGTTAACCCACATACCGATTAACCGGTTAAAAAGATTGATTAATCTGAAAGTTAATCAATCAGTTGCCCAGCCCTAATTATTAGCATGTTTATTTTATTTATGCTGTAAAATGTTCTCTCCATTTTGTTTCAGTCCAATGAAACCGGTGGGGAGTTACCACATGGAGCCGGAAGGCCTCAAAAGGTCCCTCAACATCTTTGATGCTCACTGCCTGGTAGTGGGTATCCTAGTGACGGACAGACACCCCCAGCTCAACGCCTGGCTGGCACGGGAGCACCCGGACATTTGCCACCTGTTCGACTGCTGGCACGTGGCAAAGGGTAAAATTTATAATGGTCCTCTCCAGGCACGTAGCCAGGATTTTGTTTCGGGGAGGGGGCCCGTCCATAGCAAAGTGCTGTATGAGGGGGAGGGGGGAGAGGAGGCCCCAGCAAAATGGAAGATTTTGGAGGGGGGAGGCCGGACCCTATGGCCTGGTCCTCTCAGTGCCAATAAGTTACACTATCATCAGTGGTGTGTGGGCTGTTATGATCAATGCTGCTATTTGCAAGTGAGTGCAGTAGGACCCCATCAATATGTTTTTCAGGGGACAGCAGTAAAAGAGTGTATAATCAGGGGAAATGTAATAACTTACAAGTATAATGCTTTTGGGGGTGTATATATGTAACAATAAGCAACAGTCGCACAATAATTTGTTTCTCACAAACTTCACGGCCATCGAGAAGGGTCAGATTTATAGTACAGTCATTTCTCGTTAATCTGAACCTTGTTACTATGGACACCCCGCAATATGGACAAAAGTTTCGTCGGCGACCGGTTTCTCATCATGCAATTCTTCCTCGTTAATATAGAAACACGCAGTCAGGACTATAGACAGCTAGTTTGGGGACGAAATGGGTAAATACAGGTATTTTTGCCTCATTATTATGGATACGGGTTCACGTGGCAAAAAAATAGACCCGCAGAGGTCCCAATGTGTACCCGGAATTCACTATTGTCCGTTGCCCCTCTTGATATAAAACCTACGCTCCGAAAGGTGGTGGGATTTTTTCAACCTTTCAAGCCAAAAGGTATGTCGTCCCGTTCCGGGATAACATACCCTTAGTCACCCCCACTCGCTGTGCATCAAATGCGAGGTTGGACGCTTCTGCGGTCAGTTTTAGGGTGGACAACATGATAACTAAGCACGAGTGGACAGTGCTACGCTTGTTACTTAATGTTGGTTTTTGACATTGCTTCGGTATGGATGACTCACATTATGGATGATTTGTCTGGGGAATGGAGACGTCTATATTAATGACACACGACTGTACCAACATAAATAAACTGTTTCTTTCTTAGGAGCTTACCTTAAACTGGATAACTGATACAGAGACGTAATGAAAAAATGGCGATCGAAAAGGGTGTGCAAAATTTGCAAGCCCATTGAGCTACTCAAACAGTCTCTCCGCCTAAAGTACTGCTTGGAGCACACCGGTACTAAGCAGCAAAGTTGAGCGTGTATGCTTGACTGTGCATCATGCACAATTGCCACCTCCAAACTCGTTCCAAAATGAAATAGAGTGCCGATTTGTGAACCTAGCAGCTGGGAAAGCAAATGCAGTAGGAAATAAATGCCCATACCTATGGTGATTTGAAGTGAGCCGGAGCAATAATAATTTAATTGACACTGTGTTTGCTCCCATATAAAGAACTCTAATTGTAATTGTTGCTACTGCTGGTATAAGATATTTTGAAATGTAGGAAATGTGTGTTGACAGATTCCAGGCGGCACCCACTTTTTAAGAGAGGCTAGTGGCTCTGCTACGGCCATAGTTGCCTCACCTTTACATGGCTTGCAACATTTCATTTCAGCTACCAAGAAGAAGCTGGTTGGGGCTGGGAAGTCGCGGCACCTGGAGAAGCTGAGCTCCTGGACCAAGGCGGTGGTCAACTACCTGTACTAGTCTGCGGGGACGAGTCCTGAGAACCAGGACCTCATCCTTCCCAAGTGGAAATCCCTGGTGGCGCACGTGGCAAATGTGCACTCCCACCGTGATCCTCTGTTCCCAGAGTGCCAGCATCAAGAGCTACATAAGAAGTGGCTAGAGGAAGGTAAGGATCTCACATCTGTGATGCTTAAAATACACAAGGCCATAATTTATCATGTCTCACACACTTGTTGTAGGATCGCCTGCTCATCAGAAGCTGCGGGAGATTGTCCTTTCCCCACACCTCGTACGGGACATCCCTCGGCTATCCACATCAGCACAGACCTTTGCAACGGAGTGCTTCCATAGCACCCTGTTGCAGTTTGCACCGAAGCTAATGCACTACAGCTTCCGCAGCATGAAGGCAAGGTGTGTACGAAAGTCAAGTCATTTTTCTTTTGGGTGTTTCTGAATCATGCATTTACTTTCAGGACCTTCCTGGCAGCCTTGCATTATAACGAGAACGCAGGAAGGCCCCAGGCAGTGACCAAGGATGGGGAGCTCGTCTGGGTCATCAAGTTCCCTAAAGCGAAGAAGGGGGCTGTGGTTGCTCCGCACAAAACTGGCTGCACATACGGTATATGCCAGTGCTCATTTATACATAACTGGTGCAGATTCTTGAATGTTTTCGAATCTCTCGTTACAGAGTATGTGGGGGAGCTGATGGCAGCTGTGCTGGACCTGTGCAAGACCATGCCCTCCTATGCTGCCGCCATTGAACTGCACAGCCAGGATGCACCTCCATTCCTGTCCAGTGCATATGAGTGTGCCGACAAACAGGCACTGGTGCAACAACACCAGTCAAGGTTTAACAGGTAGCGAGATGAAAGTTAGGGCCTGGCTTTGTACAAGTCCTTGCAAGGTCACACTGGCACAAATCCACGTCCCTGAGTGGGGGAGTAGCTGCCGGTCTCGCAGTGTGTGCTAGATGCCTTTCTCATCTCTCGTCTCTTGTGTTGCTGCCGCTCTTGGTGTGGTGCAGTATGAAGCGTAGAGCGTAGGCTCCTCCTAGTAAGCAGCACTGTAGGGGAGAACCCTTCCGACACCACAGCAGGTGCATTAGGGTAGTCGGTGCAGTATGAAGCGTAGAGCGTAGGCTCCTCCTAGTAAGCAGCACTGTAGGGGAGAACCCTTCCGACACCACAGCAGTTCAGTGGGTTTTAAGCAGGTTCTGTCCAGCCTTCACCGCTCTCTACTTCTCCGTTACGCTGGAGGTCCATTGCAATTCTATTGAAGTCCACGATGTGGTCATGAAATCCGACTCTTTTGTGAACTCGCACTTTGCGTGGTGCAAGTTCACTCCGACGTCGTGGAGGCGGTGGAGTAGAAACTTAAGATTTTGGTCGTGCTCTCCTTTGTTCTCTAGATTTTGTCTAGGATCCACAAAATCTCCCGCTGGAAGAGTTCTGGCGCTGTCACAATGCCAAGCGGGAGTCTCTTGAACTGAAAGTGCCCCACTTGTGTGATGAAAGTTGTCAGTTCTCTCAACTCTAGAGCTAGTGATGTTTGCTGGTAGCGAGCACTGGCATCTAGTTTGGCGAAAACTGTTGCTTTTGCGAACGTTGGAAAGTTCTCTTCCACTGTCGACGTGAAGAGGCACTCCCTCACTAGCTGTTGGTTTAGCTGCGTGTAATCTGTGCAGACTTGGAGGGAACCATCTTTCTTTTTGTCAGCTAACATAGGTACACCCATGCTGTGGCCTGGTTGACTCTTTCGATGACGTCCATGTCTAGCATGCATTGAAATTCTTGTTGCACTCTGGGTAAGAGAAGTAGGGGTACCCGTCTCGAGTCTATGATTGTGAATGGTCTCGCGTCTGGGTGAAGCGTGACCTTGTACTGCACATCTGACCTCCTACTGGCAAGCGTCAAAACTAGCTTTACCCAATAGACCGATCTCACCAGCCAGTTTCACTACGCCACCGCTGCCGCAATGCATTGAGGGAACTTTAGTCTTTCTGCACGTGCGACAACTTCGCTGGAGCTCTGCGCGTGTACAGCACGAGACGGCACGACCCCTATCGTGCACTGCCGTTTTCCTTCTGTGAACTAAAGTTATGGTGGCGTCACGCATGCGCGGAACGCTTGGTGAGTTCGGTCTATTTTTTAACAAAGCACAGATCCTCTCTTGCCAACCTAATTTTGTACAGTTAGGTATGAAAGAAACTGGAAGGACGGAGCGAAAAGTGAGGTGGGACAAAATAAGGCACAACTTTGCGGGTCGGTTTCCAGACAGCATCAATCTAGAAAGTCCTGCCTGTTTATTCGAGTAAGTAGAACCACAATGTATTAATCAGTAATGATAAGTAGCGAATACCTCATTTTGTCCCGAACCCCGAGCAAGTGGGGTAAAAAAAGTGCCTCAGCAGGATAATATATAAAAAGAGAATCACTCGCACCCTGTACTGGTTGTACCGATTATGCCTTTGTAGCAAGTCGTTTTGGACGTCTCGAATGCAGGCGGCAGAGCGAACGGAGTGATGCTGTCGCTACTCCTATCCAAGGGCTTTCATCATATGATTTGCACACCATACATACTCGTCTTATTTTGTGCATACAAGCCATTGTGAACAATGGGACGACGAGAAAATAGCTATGAAGCAACCACAAGACTCAACCCTTTAACCACCAAGTTATTTTCAAAAACAATATACAAGCTTTCCCAAATTTTTCTATTTGCACATATTTTTTCTTATGTCGTTCTGATTTTGCAAATGCATTACTTGATTGGTTTCTGATTGGTATTAACACAAAACTTTTAAAAGGAAAAGTTGATTTTTATGGAAGCTTTTCCTCAGTGCATGTAAGAGTAATAGAATAACACATGCTGAAGTGTGCAGTATTTATTTGAACATACGCACCGTAACAAAAGATAAGTGCCTAGACCTTTCTCAGTACTAGTGCTAACAAATACATCTCAACCTGCGGTTTGCCAATGATTCCTTGCAAAATTATTAGCGCAAGGAACACCATCATCACTTTGCGGTCCACCGGTTTCCATGAAGAACCCCGCGCTGAGAAATGCGGGACCGCGTAGTGGTTTGTCTCTGTTTCAATAGACATCTTCCAAAATCGAAGCGCCCCATTGCGGCGAAATACCATGCAGTGCACTCTGGGAACTAGTTGGCCACCGGTTTCGATCGAGCAGCTTCATGTCATGCTATCACCCCGTGACCGAATGCGCTGCTGGCGTTTCTAATTGTCTGACTTTTCACGAACGTACAATACATTCATTCTCGAGTGATGCAAAATTTCGTTCCCGAAGCACCGGATATTGTGCGTGCGTATACAAACGCAGTAAGACGTGCCTTAGACACCTCACCCCACGAGTGCATCTTTGAGCTCAATTTCAATAATCCCGTCTAGTACCAGTGAACTACATCTGAAATGTTGTCACCTTGAGCCTTACACATATTTTGTTTGCCAAACGTCCGCTTCTTGTTACTTCATTCAGCGAAAAGCAAGCTGCATCCTCGCAGGAGTACCAAAGTTGAGCCCAGCGTTGACGCATGAACTTTCAAGGAAACTCAATAAATTCGACCTCGCTACTGCACAAAAATTACCATCATGTCTTCCTCGTGTCATCATATACATCCCACTCAAGGTTTATGCTGATAGGCTCCTTGCACTGACGTCACATCGCACACATTTGAACACCAAGTAAAAGGAGGAGAGAGAAGCTGCTTTTGTAAGAATTTTGACTGACAGATTAATCTTCTATAATCTTCTGGGAGGAGAATGGCGACGCCTGTGCAAATCCGGGAGGCACAAAGGAGGATCCTGATAAGAGGAGAGCTCCTTCTTCCCCTCTTCTCTGGAGGGCAACGGAAATGACGTCCTGTGCAAGCCACGTATAGACCTTTCTAGCGGCAGTCTCGAACGAAGCGATTTACAGCGCGTGTCCCTGGTTTTGAGAGTGTACGTCAGTGTTGCCCGACTGCGCTGAGCTGTGGAGTTTCTCGTCAGTAGTCTGTGGCAGCGTGCGTTGGGCGCAATTCCGGACGCTGGTGGCGGCTGAATTGCCGCGTTTTCTTTTCTATCTTGTGTTCTGTGGCGAGCATAATTTATAGAGGTCTTTAAGAAAGCAGTGCTTTATTTTTGGGAACAAAAACAAAGAAATGAAAGCTGTTTTGGTGAGTCCGTGCGCGACAGAACAAATGCAACTGGAATGTTTGTTTCATTTTATGTTCATTGTTTTACGGCGCCGTAAACTCAGCCGTGTCAATCTATAAAGGTCAAAATATTTGACCACACAGGATATCCGTACTGCATGGATATTCCCCGCCCACAACATAAAATTCAATGAGTCTCATCAATCGAACAAAAAATATATTGTACGTACCCCTCGGTGCCGCGTTATCCAAACAGGATTTGAGAAAGGTCTCAAATAACACAGCATGTCCAATATACAGTGTCGACGATAGTCACTTCACGACGATCGGACGGAATCCAGCGTGTTTTGGGGAACATGTAAAAGAGAGCTCCTTTCTTGCACAGCTTCATAGCAAATGAACGAACGGGCTTATTATGTCGCCACACCCCGGACCCGACCCTATCAGCTAGTTTTTGCGAAGACCCGGAACGCAGCCTGGAAGGCTTTTTGGGGATTATCTCGACGGAAATAATCCTCCAAGCACTTCGAACTGCCTGCGTCGCGGGCTGCTTGACGTTCGCTCTCTTCGTTCGTTTCCTGCGAAGGCCGAGCGGGCTACGAGCCCTGGTATTCCCTGGTTCTCACAGTGGAAGATAGGATACAAAGGGTAAGCATCCTAAACAGGCGAATAAAATAAAAACTTCCAAGAAAAGCCGGCGAACTCCGAATGCAAAATGCAGGTGGGGAGTCACGCTGACCGGGTTTCCACAGCTCAGGCGGGTGCCAGAAATTTCTGGCTGATAGGGGTCGCTCGATTCGCAAAATGGCGGCGGCCAGAGCGCTCTTTTTGGAAAGGTCTATAGGAGATGAAGTTTTTGCAAACGCTGAAATGGGCTAGCTACGACGGAGGCTCTAACAAGCGCCCCCTACTCCTCACTAAGCCTTTTTGGACGAGCTTTTACTGACGCCCCAGATCTGTGCCTGAACGGTGTGTCTGAAATTATCTCGGCATACTCAGTCAGAAAGAGAGCAAACACGTAACAAATATTACGGCCATTAGCAACCATCAAACGCGGTTTGAACAATTTTGTTTGTTTGACACACTGCATAGGGGTTCACGATCGTCTTTTCTTCACACAAGCGCTCGACTTATGCTCTCTTAAAACGGTTTGTACGTGCAAATGTGCCTATATGATTGCAGGATAATTTTATGGGCATAGGATTGTTAAATATTAGTGGAATGCAAGCGGGTGGAGACTTCACTTCGCACACTTCAGATAAGAAGTGTGCTCAAACTTAGCTTTTCAACGGCGCCTCCGAGTTTTACTTCGCGTACTCAGGCATATTAAGAAAAACAGTGATTGCAAAAGCTTATATTTCGTCCATGGACACACAAAGCAAACAAACTTCCTGACCAGCAACAGTAATGTAAAGGTGCGAGCTCGATGTATGCCTATATAGCAATCACTATATATACATTATTTACATATTAGGTACAGGTCCCTGTCACGACCTTCGAAACCTAGCCGCTCAATCTTGCTCGCGAGCTTTTCTTTCTCTCGTCCTCTTTTTTTCTTTCTGTTCAAGAGCTGGCGTGATGACCGCTACACTATTCCCTTCTAGGCAATTTAAAGCAGAAAAACAAACTTTGCGGTGCGCTGGTTTGGACACTTTAGTCTGTGAGGAATACTGATGAGACGGTTGGATATGCTTGGGCTTAAGCCTGTCTATTGATACATTCTCTGTTTTTCCGTTTAACAGTATTTGGAAGTATTTCAATGTCCTCTTCAAAACTAATTGTTACAGCTTGTTGACTCATACACA